TCCCATTGAGCCTCCAAATTTCCCCCTCTTTTCCACCTGAGCATTCACCTTTCACTAAGCGCTGTTGGGGGACAAAAAAAAAAAAAAACCCTTGCAAATGCACAGACCGATTCCCGCACCCTGAAAGGTCGGAGACACAATTATTTTGCGCAGTTGAAATGACGACAAAAGCATGAAAAGCATAGTGTCTCTTCAAAGGCCCCAAAATTATTTAAAGCGGGCGCCAGGGAAGCCTGTTCCATGGTTCAGTGTACCCGCTTCCGTCCATGGGTCGGAAGAACTCTGTGAGTCTACGAAAGTCCACTGTGTGGGAAATACGTCTGTTCTTCGCATTCTGTAGCCCCTCTTTGATTTCCTTAGGGGAAGCCTGTCTTCTTCCTTTTCTTTTCGCCATGTCCGCTCCTACAGGGCAATTTCACAGGTTGTCCATCGGTCAAACCATGCCAGAAACAGCCCTTCCTGCTAGGGCGGCCCGCGCGGGGCGGTCTGACCCTTCCAGTGAAGACAGTGACCGTGGAGAGGGCGATAGCTCTTCAGAGGAGAGCTCAAGTGGTGGAGAGGAGGACGAGGATAACAATGAAGAAAGCAGCCACGAACAGTCCGAATCGAATAGCGCCTCCGTCCTCGCCACGTCCGGCATTACCTATGACCTCAGCCAACTGCATTCCGAGTCTGAAGCCAGGGCCTTCGTGGGCTTGACCGGCGGTTTTGATGTCGTCAACTGTCGCTCTACTCCCGCCGGATATGACTTCCAGCTCTCGGATCAGCCACAGGTGCACATTGGCCCGGACTCGTCTACCTGCACTTGTGCGGTCTTTCGGGATCAACCCGACGGGGCATGCCAGCACATCTTTGTGAGTATGCCTTCTTGAGGAAGAAAGCTTAAAGGCCGAAGGGCTTGAACTGCCAATACTAACCCTAGTCCCCTGAACAGTGGCTCGTCGACCAACTGCACGGCTGCTTCCTCCCCACGCCTCGGTCGACGGAGGTGACGCTGACTCCAGACGGACGTCCGGACCGCCTCCCTCGCATTGAGGACCTTCTGAAGGGTAATCTGATGTCGGTTGCAACGCAGCTAAAGTGGCAGTACCTACAGGATGAGGAGGATGGGATGACGCGGACAGAAAAGGTCCGGGACATCTTCTCTGCGTTCAACCGGACTCTCCCAGAAGACACCCGTCAGGACTTGACAGAGACAACCGAGCAAGCACGAACGCCGGAGGAGTGCGTGGTCCAGGGAGATTTCGAAGCGACTATGTTCCGGCTTGCAATTCACGACGACGGGGTTTTCAACAGCCTCTGCAAGGCGATGCCCTCGGGCGCGTGTGCGGCCATCTACTTCGACAAAGTACAAGAGCAGTCGCGCCGACTACTAAACGACTTCGATCGATACTGCACGACCGGCGAGTTGCCCGCGAACGCCGTGAGCCCAGGCCTGGGCGTAGAAGTCAACGACGTCGTAGCACAGCTCCAGCGTTCTGTATCCCGGATTGAAGCCAACATTGCAGCACGCGCCCCGCACGGCTCGGAACGCGCCGTCGAAGCACTCGTGTCTCTCCTGGAGTCAGTTGTGGCTCGCAATAATGATCCTCTCGAAGGCAATCCCCTGGGCCGCCAGTCCTTCCACGGCGAAGACGAGGACCAGCGCAATCTATATCACTTGCTCATCGGGTCTGTCGAAACAGACTCCGAAACAGACGCGCGGCACTTTGTCCTTCACGCGCTTGATGCCCTGCCGCCGGTGGACCTCCACCAGTGCGCCAACCGCCTGCGTGATATCCTCCGCAAGATCGAAGTCAACCGTGCCCCCAAGCCATATCTTCTCCATCTGGGATCATTGATCCGTGTCGCTGAATCTGGCGCTGCTGCTGCTATGGGATCCGGACAGAAGCGACCGGCGGCTGGGAATGGAAACTCCGGGGGATACTCGAAACGAACCCGTTGAATTCTCGATCTTTTTTTATACGTATGTTTCTTATCTTGTTCTGGGAGGCCATCGTGTTCATTCATTGCAATACCCCGCTGCATCGTGTCTTTGCATTTCATCAGGGACGAGTCTCTCCAGTTCCGTTTTGCTTCTCGGTCATGTCATTCATTTACATCTTTTGATGTCTACTACATACGATCGGAAGAGCTGTTACTATTACCATAGCCATTTTCACATACAGTTACTATATCACAGACAGCGCAGACAAAGTTTCAAGTCCGCTGGAACGGTCAATGTCCATGACCACATATAAAGCAAAATACAAGTCCCATGATGAACATGTCGTCATTCAAACCCAGCGCTACGGCCCCGGGATCCCATATCCACGGTCCGGCCTCGTGAACCGGGTGTCACCGCTACCAACCACCTGGACAGGGATGAGCTAGCCCGATTTATGAGGTTGAACCATGGAACGAATTCTCGGTAGAGTGTGGGCCACCCACACTTTGAAAATGCCTCGTGGGTTTTGTGCTTTTCTCATTTTTGGGAGCCTAACAAGCACACGAATCAGCAAAATCAAACACGATGCCAAGGCCAAGGTTGAGAGTCGTCCTTGGGTACATAATTCCAAATGTAGATCTTGAGATCCATATCCGTACGATCGCTTCGCACATCTGATGATCATGTAATCTATATTTCATATAAATTCTGGGGCCAGAGGCATCTCAGTTTCAAACCTGCCCCTCAATCCACGCCCAATGCACAAGTTAAGTTCGGGAACGCTCGCCTATAACGCGCGTCGAAATGCGGTGTCCGGTGTGCTCATCCTGTGTTGCACGATTAGACATAAACGCTACATACTGTATACAACATATTAGGCTGTGAGAGTGTATTAGGCCATGGGATTCCACTTGAACACTCAAAGTGGATATTTCATGCCACATTTTCCACGTTTTCGACAGATTGATGACCATGCGTGCGACTGGGATTGTCAGATTGAAGCCGAGTTTAGGCCGTGAAAGTCAATGTTGGGCCGTGCACACGGTTGTGTTCCTGGATCCTTGAGGGGCTAGTCAGCCTAGTGCTGTCTCTAGCTTATGGGGTGGGCTTGAAGGTGGGTTTGTCTTATTGTAGCTGGACACCTGCTACGGAGTACTCCGTACTCCGTACACAGGGGTGTTGTATATATTGACAATGCTTTGTATGCAAGGATCTACATACCTATTACTAACTAGTGTTAAAAGGCAAGAGGGCGCGAGGATACGATAGGTATAAGAAGGACCTATATCGTTCTCATAGCCCTGGCTATATTATAAATCTATATCAAGGAGAGCGACGGCTGAAACCGGGTTTGGAAACGTATTGCATTGGTTGCATTGAGTTCGTAGTAAAAACACCAGGGATGAAGATCTTCATATATCAAATTTGAAGCAATTTTACGCGATGAAGAAAGGGTGCTCCTTGAGGCTTCAACAAGTCGGGCTTCGGCTTCAATGAGTGGATGCTCTTGATAACAGCTCCAGGTTGCGTGGTCATTTTCTCCTCGAGTTTCTCTCGCTGGACAAAACAAATATGGCCCGTCTCCCAGTTGGCTTCCGACACCTGGAGCAGTGGAAGAGCGTTCAACCCGAAAGTATGTCAAAGCTGTGTTTGAAGCAGGGCTTGATGGCCCTCCATTGGTGTTTCAATTTTCAAGCTCCGCTCCTCTTTTGAGCAAGATAGAAAATATACGAACGGATCCATTTTCACTGAAGGCGGGATACTGAAGTAGAGTGCTCTCCCCAGGCAACCCCGCGGGGATACCAGCTCCATGGTCTATCATTTCCTGCATGACCTCTCTGGTACATGTTAATACAGCGTTATGGAATGGCGTTTTCGCGCATCCTACGATCTTGTTGACATCGGCTCCCTTTTTCAAAAGCATGTTCATGATGGAATCGCGCTTTTCATTTTCTTTCTCGTCTCGCCCTGGACTCGCACGCCCTGACTATGTATGCCATGGCGTTCATTCGCTCTAAATATTAGTAACCATTGCAAACATGCTTGAAGCGCAGCTTTCGGCCATTCTAGTCTTAGGTTGTGGACTCGGATATGTGGAAATAACTGTCCCATGTTGATATCGGCACGGCAGCATTCACATCAGCCCCGTAATCTATCAGAATTTCTGCCATGCTGCCATGGCCGGCCTCGTATGCTTTATTTAAAGGCTCTCTGATACGATTTAAGATGCTTCATCTCTTGGATGATGATTTCAAGCGTGGAGATATTGCAATTTGACGCAGCACGGGTTAACAAATCCTCTTGGGTTCGGAGAATGACGTTATTGCTTCGCTTCCTGGAGTAGAGTCGGGAGTTATCAAACTTGGATCTACGGATGACCTCCGGCACCTATTTTCTCGGTTGACTCACGATTAGATCACCACTCCGGTTACCCCCCGTTAGCTTTCCTAACATCTACAAACTCGTCAAAAAAAGAAGCTAAATCATCGACAAGAATATAGCCAGGAGGAAAAAAAATGAACATGCGACGAGATCTACAAGAACGCCCCGAGATTCTCGGTCGGACTAACTGGAAATCATGGAAGAATGAAATCGAGAAACGCGCCCGAAAAGAAGGAGTCTGGAAGTACTGCAACCCCGACGACCCAGGTGAGTACTATCCAGAGCTCCACCAACCCGGGAAACCACACGTTTCCACAGTCCGACCCGAAGCAACATCCCTCGTTGACCTTGGAGAGGATGACTTCATCGAACTATCCTCGATCGTCGACCAATACTGGAAGCAGATGCGCGCATATGAGGACATTCAAACAAAGCTCCAGGTCATTTTGAACTTATAGAAAACAATGTCGATTACGAACGCTTCAGTCTCATTAAGCATGCAGAAACACCGCTTGAGCAGATGGCGGTTCTATCTGCTAAATTCAAGAAATCTCGCTTAGAAGATCTGCAACCAAGATGGGAAGGTGTACAAGAACTTGCTAATAAGGCGGATGTGCAAAAGCTATTTAAGGCATGGAATGCTCTGTTCACAGATTGCAATGGGTATCTTTCGGGTTCCGCTCGAAGCCAGGACGCCGAGACAGCGGGAGATCTCCCGGAGAACTGGCTACCTCTCACTTCCCAGCACTGGATTGAAACCCCCGACGATGTTGGATCGAGGAGCTATGGGGACGATTGTGCTCAGCCTCGTTCACCAACTGAACAGGAGTCTGTCAATTCCCTAGACTGGATTGAAACCCCTGACGATCCCGGGTCAAGGAACTATAGGGATGACTGCGCCCAACTCCGTTCACGGGCTAGACGGGGGTCTATCGCTTCTCGGTACCGTACTGGCTACCACGATCCTGCGGTGTCGACTATGCGCACGTCTCTGAGCCCTCAACCCGGTTCTGTAGCAGGTCAGAGCGAGGAGACGCCTGGGGATAATTCGGAGATAATGGGTCTTTCACAACGATCGATATTCCCCCCGGCAAAAGAAGCAAAACCTAATTGCAATCATTTGGATGAATGGTAGACAACCCTGGCTATAATATACATTGTGTGGATGGTTCTGGTGTTTGTGAGGGAATGCTTGTGTCTTTCTGCTTTCGACAAGGAGTCAGCTCTTGGGAGTTGATATAGCTCTTTGCGCGTAGCTTTTGCTACGATTGCTTGACAAGGCCATTGTATCATTAATGGCCTAATCGTTTGGCACGACCGGCGAGACTCTATTTCTATTTGGTTTGTGAAATTTCTATGATAGGTCATTGAGTAGTTGCTGGATGGTCTATATTTGGAAGAACAAATCGATAAAACATTCCAGATTCATTACATCTTCTTCTCTAATCAACCCTTTCTCTCTGGCCTTCGTCTTCATCCATATTCTTATCAGAGAAAGTCCATCGTCATTCCCAACAATAGGGTTTTGTTCGAGTCGTCCGACCTTCTGCGCAGCACTCGTTTTCCGCGGAGTGTAGCCAGTTTTGAGACAGTAATCCTTGCAGTAGTGTTCTGTAGATATACTTTCATGACTATAAAAGCAAATTGTACTAGCCAATTCAAAGCGTATCGCCAAAAACGCCAAAACACTCTATAGTCACGACATACTTCGTGACAAGAAAGAGAGAGGAAAGGGAACATGTTATCGTACGAACAAATTCAGGCTAGCTAAATAACCTGTGGAGGCTTGATAAGAAGGCATACCCTTTAAAACATCGTATCAAAGAGAGGCATCTAAAAAGAATATCCAAACAAGTCGCCAAAGTGTTGTCCTTCCCTTGATCGCAGTGGCATCATATGTCAAGGTTTACTTATGATGCGGATGCTCCCAAATTACACATAGCAGGCCGGCTGGCCCAATGGCAAGGCGCTTGACTACGAATCAAGAGATTGCAGGTTCGATCCCTGCGTCGGTCATGTTTTTGTGAATTTTTTTCACCCCCTCCAGTGGGGAGAGAATGTCTTTTTGTTGCCTTTCCTTCTGGCCTTTTTCTTTTCGGTATGGAAAAGTCCCTTGGATAGAAATTATGCCCAACGCTTTTCGGTGGGAATAACCCATTCAATTGGTGCGAAATGCCAAAAGTATCAAATGTGACAGTTGGGTGGGATTTGTCTATCCTACCCATAAGATCGATCTCCACCGACCAGTTACTTTTAGCGGAAAATAAACCGAAAGCTCCATGGCAAACAAGATGAAATCGGATTCAATATTCTGCATACATACCCAGCATTCATCCAGAAAGATCCAACACAACGCGACCTTGCAGCTTCCCCTCCTCCATCTCCTTGAATACCTCAGTCAAAGCGTCCATCTTCTCCGTCCGATAATGCACCTTAATAACACCCCTGGCCGCAAACTCCATAGTCTCAATAGCCTCCCTCCGACTCCCAACCGCCGACCCTGTAATAGTCCACTGCTTGCTAATCATCGTAGACGGGAACGCCGTCGCAATAGCCTGCGGATCATTCTCCGGAAGGCCCACGCATACAAGCGTACCATTGAAACGCAACAACGGCAGCGCCTGCGCATACGCCGCATTCGCAGCCGTACAGACAATCGCCGCGTGAGCGCCCAGCCCATCCGCCAGCGAGTGAACGTGCTTCGTCAGCGCGGCGCCATTATCGTCCCTCGGGAACTGCGTGATGTCCACGAAATGCTCCGCCCCGGATTCCTTGACCAGTTCCTCCTTACTGCCGTGGTCGATGCCGATTACCCGCAGGCCCATTCCCCGGCTCGCGAGCTGTACTGCGAGGTGGCCTAGACCGCCGCCGGCACCGGAAATTATCACCCATTGTCCGGGCCGCGCGTTGCTGCGCTTCAGTGCCGAGTAGACGGTTACGCCGGCACAGAGAAGTGGTGCTGCCGAGGCGGAGTCGAGACCGTCTGGGATTGGGGTTACATAGTTTGCGGGACCGAGTGTGTATTGCTGGAAAGTTCCCGGGGTGTAGTAGCCGGAAACTTTCTGGTTGAAGCATAGTCCGTCGGCACTGGCTTGGCAGGGTTCTGGATGAGGATGTGTTAAGTTCGAGGTGTATGTTTGGGTTGTTGAGGATAGGACATGTATACGTACGGCAGTGCCCGCATGCGCTGGAGATCCATTTGACGCCGACTCGATCGCCGATCTTCAGGTTCGAGGATTCGGTGCCTGTACCGAGCTTGACTACCTTACCGACACCTTCGTGGCCGCCCACTTGGCCTGGCTGAGTTGGGTATGGGAACCCGCGTATACTGTTGGTCATGATACTAAAGTCTGAGTGACACACGCCCGAATGTGTTCTATCATTGTCAGTACTATTCTATAGTGTAAAAATCCCGATCAGACGTACAAATTAATCAGAACCTCGCCCGTACCAGGCTCTGGAACGTCTAGTTCCACAGCCTTTGTCGAAACCGTCCCAGGCTGGTCGTAAATGACGGCCTTTTGCTTGGCGGGGATTTCGGGGGCAGCCATGATTACTGATTGCTGGTGATAGATCGACACGAGGTCAGATATTGAACTATGAAATCAATCTCAATTGGGGTTTCACCGTCCGAAAGATGTATGCGGAGCAAATGCGGAATCGAATGCTGGAATGGGTCTTAAGTAAATCATCGCATCTCGCGCCAAGTGCTAAAAGAGGAGAACTCGATCAAATGTGGAGAGGGTCGTGGGGTCACATTGAGGGGTTCGACAGATCGTTGGCACATGTTGGCTAAACAGCTTGTACTCGGATGCACGTTGTGCATGCCTCGGAAGCTGGTTATCCAGTCATGCATTATAATATGTTTCTTTGCGCCTGGATGAATTGAGGGGTGAGATGCGGAGTCACAAAGGGACCTCGGTTCCGCTAAGCCGCAATACGGCTATTTTTATCTGTATTCATTGTTGGAATGAATACCAGAGTCAGAGGAGTATGTTTCAGAGAGACCAAAGAGATAGAAGGTTGAGAAGTGTTTATATACATCGGAGACCCCCAAGGTACTCTCATGGATGATCACATACATTAACATACATATTTCCACTCACCCTTGCCGCTTTGTCAGTAACCTGGGGAAATCAGGGAGAACCTTGGAAGGCCTTTGAATACATCCATGGTTACGATTCTGTAGGTCCATGGTTCAAGTACGAAGATTGAAACAGCTTCTGCCTAAGTAAAAATCCTTGAATGAAAGTATTACAGTGTCTCTTCACAGCATGATATTTTGTTATCGCACAAAACTCATACAAAATGCCAAAGCTCACGCATAGGATGCCCAGCCTATTGAAAGTTAGTAAAGCGGTCGATGATCAAGCTGGAGGAAAGGAAAGAGAGAATACATACCGCAATATAACATAGCAAGGTTCTTCTCATCACTCGCCTGCTGAACCAATTCATTTACAGTAGCCGTGACGCTGAGCGTTTTACTCAGCTTTTTCGCCACCACAGTTAACGCACGGTCAGCTTCACTAGGTTCATTCTCGTTCTCACTCTTCGAGACGAGAGCGTCAGCGGCGCCAGGCAGAGCTGGAGGCGCATCACTGGCTTGGTTGTCCTGCATCTGCATCTTCTTAACCCGAAGCGGGGAGACAGTCCAGCTATACAACGGGTCATAACGTAATACATCAAGGATGGTCATAATGCTGTACGATTCTTGCCGGAGTGCTTCAAGGGTGAATTCACAACAACGCCGGAAAACGCCTTCAGTCTTGGTGATGCCGAATCCATCAACTATATCGCGGGTCAACCGGAACGGCACTACCTCAGGAACAGGTAGCACACGTCCTTGTTCGAACGCTACACCCAGATCAATGTGCACCACTTCCCCGGTCTTCTCGTCTAGCAGAATATTGTGTCCATGCCGATCGCCGAGGCCGAGAACATGACCGAGGATAGAGATTGCAGCGGTACTTCGCGTGTAGGCTAACCGCTTGGTAAACCAGTCGTCTGGGTTGTTAAACCTCTCCATGAAGAAATACTTCATGACTGGATGGAAATGTTCGGTCACCTGTCGGTAGGTTCTGACGCGTTGCTCAAACGATTTGGTCTGCACATCGGCAATGTGTTTCCGGCAAGAGTTGGGTTTCATGTCCTTCGGGAAGTATTTCTGATGTGCGGGCATCAGGTAGTCGTGCAGAGGAATTGTGTTTGGGACGAACTCAATGATTCCAGCGCTTGGTGTCAATGGGAGAACCTTGTATGTTCGGATGCCTAAGCTCCGCTGGCGTGTGGGTTGGTGGTCTTTCAGAAGACTGCTGACTTGCTCAAATACTTGCTCCATGATGGCATCTTGTCGCAGGTCATCATTTCCTCCCTTGTACTGTTGTTTGTTTTGTTAGCTAAGAACGTTGACGGGACTTCAAATCAAATGAAGATAAAGCTTACCAATTGCTTGTAGCGCTCGCCGTTGGATGCGACGGCGGTCACAATTTTCGGTGCGCTAACGCCGGAAGCAATCGTGAAGTCAGGATGGAAATCTGTGATTGTAGGAACCTGACTATAGTCGCAATCTGCACGGAGCTTGATTTTCATTGTTGGTGGTGGTAGTTTGTAAGTGATGGCATCTTGTCCAAGGCGCTGGCCAGTAGTCAAGCTCTTCAGTGGGACTTTAGCACCGCTTTTGTATTTGCTGTCTGGTCTGTCGACTGCAAATCGCACATAGCTAATGTTCACGTTGTGCACAGCAATCCAAGTTTGACCGATGTGACTATCGTTCTTTAGACGATCCACAAGCTGATTTGCAGCACGGAACCGAGAGTGAGACGACGGATCTTTCCCTCCCTTGGACTTGCTGCTGGCGAAAATTTGGTACATGCCATGGAAAGGATGCTCAACGCATATCCTAAATACCAATTGAGTGAGTAATGCCTGGAATTCATCGGAGACGTCGAGCAGGCGAGATGATAGCTGGTTCATCAATGGTGCAAATTTCCGGCTGGGTACCTCGTTCAGATACCGAGAGACGGCTGAATTTGCAGTCTCACTGTCTGATTTATCAAGCCAGAGTGCACAGAAACGTAGAGCGTCATTGTTGTAAGTATCGCTTTCCCTCAAACTGAGAAGGTAATTTTCGAGGCA